ACAGTGCTCAGCTTAACTTAAACATGAGAGCCGAAGGCTGACAAAGGAGGAAAGAAATGAGAGAAAAACACAAATGCATGGTCAGTTTTGTTGTTTTTCTAAAATTAAGGAAATTATTGATTAAGACCAAACATATAAATGTATTCATACCTGGATAAGTTATAAAGATAGGCGTCTGACATGATGGGTTAGAGGTGTTTCTCTGTAAAGGAAAGTACTTGTAGATTAGCCAAAAATAAGCTTGTGTTTCCCAAATCATAAACTGAAGTTTATGATTTTGTAACGTTATGTCGACTTAAATTGTTGGATGAGGAGGAAGCAGACTGAGAACCTCTTGGTCCAAGGCAATGCATGCTTCTGCACCACACAGTGTGTGAGACAGCCCTTATAGATACCTAACATAGATACTTACTCTCTAACCCTGACATTTGTTATTTTTCTCAATCTTGCAATTATTTCTCAATTTGTTGAAAGTGATCAGTTAAAAGATCCCGTTAAAAGATAATTCATTCTTAAGATATAATAAATCCAAATGTATGGTTGCACGAGGAAACAATGAGCACCTCCAGACAAAACATGAGGTCTCAAGATGTCTAAAATATCTTCACTCTCATTGGTTCACAGAGCAGCAGCTGCATCAGAGCACGATAACCTCTTTCCATTGTTTGTAACAATGCATATGCTTCATGTCACTCAATATCGGCTCTATATGTGTGTCAGACAAGGGCATTAGAGGGAGGGGGAAGGGTCTGAGGCTTTTTCCCCCCTAAAAATTATGACAGTTTTGAAACATTTTTAAATACATGCCTTTAAAACACAAAAATAAAGAATCGTGAAGTCTCATCTCAGCAGGAAGACCAGTGGTTTGGTTATTGTAAAGGAACCAAAGCCGAGTGCTGTTACATCATGGAGTGAACAAAAATTCAAGCTTAGCTGAGAGAATTCCCTCTGAAAACTGACAAACTGACAAAAAAACCCTCTGAAAATGGAAAAACTACAGATCTGATGTGGTAATGCAAATTGGGATGATCGTGGCTCAAGAGTTGGCAGTTCATCTTATAATTGGAAGGTTGCCGGTTAGAGCCCCAGCTCCGACAGTCTCGGTCGGTGCAAGTGTCCTTGGGCATGATACTTCATCTGTTGCCTACTGGTGGTGGTCAGAGGGCCCGGTGGCAGCCTCGCCTCTGTCAGTGCGCCCCAGGGCAGCTGTGGCTACAATGTAGCTTGCCATCACCAGTGTGTGAACACGTGTGTGGATGATTGAATGTAGTGTAAAGCGCTTTGGGGCCCATAGGGACTAAGTAAAGGTCTATACAAATACAGGCCATTTACCATTAAAGAAAGCTGGATTTTGCAGGATCATTTGTGGTGGAAAGGTTTTCCACCTAAACAATTAGTTTAATTGTTGTGCTGATTTCATTTCAGTTTTGCTCCTTTTTCCATGCTTTTAAAGTACTTCTCATTTTACAGTCAAACATGTTATTAGGTACATGTAACTAGTACTGGGTTGGAGCCACTTTTGCCTAAATTCTTCAATGCAAAGATTCAATGGGGTCCTGGAAACATTCCTCAGAGGTTTTGGTCTATACTGACATGATAGCATCAAAGAGTTGCTGGAGATTTATCAGCTGCGTGTCCACAATACAAGTCTCCCATTCCAACACATCCCTGAGGTCCATTCATTTTCTTCCACTTATCCAATTAAGGGTTACGGGGAGTGGAAGTGGGGTGGGTGAAGTCTATCCTAGCTAGAATACAACAAGAGGCAGGGTACACCCTGGACAGGTCACCAATCTGAAACAGGTCTAACACAGACAGACAGCCATTAACACTCACATCACCAGTTAACCTAACCCCACTAACTGAATATCTTTGAAGGAAGCTGGAGTACCCGGAGAAAACCCACGCAAACACGGGAGAACATGCATGCTCCACACAGAAAGGCCCCGGCCAGATGGCGGTAACTCTGGAGGCCATTTGAGTACAGTGAATTTATTATCACGTTCAAGAAACCAGCTTGATGATCTGAGCTTTGTGACATGGAAGTTGCCATCAGAACATAGCTACATGTGGTCGCCTTGATCGTGGCTATTTGCTTAAATGCACTGAGTTGCTGCCATGTGATTAACTGATTAGCCGTTTGTGTTAACGGGCAGTTGAGCAGGTGTACCTAACAGAGCGAGTAGTGATGCTGTAAAATGACACAAATGCATCTTTATTCCCT